CCTGACATATTTAGAAGACTGATGGACAGACAGACAAATGTTATAGGCACTGTAAGACAAAACAGAAAAAACATGCCTGAGGACATCTCTAAAACAAAATTGAAACATGGAGAGCAAGAGAGATGATCGATCCTCTAGCAATATGTGTAAAGTGGCAATTGTGTGTAAAGTGGCATGATGAGACGTCTGTTTTGTGTCCAGTAAACATCTGTTGAGATGATAGGAACAGGCAAACTGGGAAGAAAGAACGGGCTGACACCAAGAGAGGATGTGAAATGTGCCCTTGAATATCAAAAGAGAATGGGTGGTGTAGACTTTCAAGACCAGATGACAGCTCTCTTTCCAATCATGCGACGCACGGTGAAGGGGTATAGAAAGATATTTTTTTATCTTCTTGATATGTGTATTTTCAACTCCTTCATTGTGTACCACAAGATCAGCGGAAAGAAGAAAACTTGCTACACCGACTTCAGGGCCAACATTGCACAGCAAGCTGAATACTCTGTTCGCGGGCGACTATCAGCGAGTACCACCTCTATGAGACTATCAGGCAAATAAATGGACTCATTTCCCGATGCACATAGCCCCAACTGAGAAGAAAAAAAAATATCACAAAAAGGTGTGTTGTGAGCTACTCAAGAGGAAAAAGAAGTGAAAGTGCATGGCAGTGTTTAGAAGTTTAGAAGACTGTTTTGAAGTCTATTGTACGCAATAATCACACTATTTATCTTTACTCGTTGATTTTATATGATTTTTTTAAAAATTATCATGCTCTCATTCCCACTGGTAGAGTATTTAAATACGATCTCATTGGATTAATAGCGACAGAGACACCTCATGCGAATCAAACGGACGAATAGATCGTTGTAGGATAGATTGACAGGTATAGAACACATATATTGGCGAAACTAATCAAAACTCAAGATAGTTGGAATAATGTCTTAAACGATGTTGAATTCGCTTTGAATAATACGGTAAATCGTTCGACCAGAGATACTCCCGCGCGACTACTTTTCGGTACAAACAAGACGCTTTAATAATGAATTATTTTAGAAGAATATAAGGTAGACGAAATGCAAGCTAGTAGTGCATATCATAAACAATATTATGATAAAAAACATAAGGTTCCTACTAGATATAAGATATTAGATGAATATGTAATAATTAAAAATTTAGATGTTACATCCGGTATAAATAAGAAACTTTTACTTAAATATCAAGGACCGTACAGTGTAAAACGGGTTTTGGATAACGATAGATATGTTGTTTCTGACCCCGAAGATGGAACAACCAACACAAATACCTTTCGAAGGAATTTGCGCATCTGAAAACATGAAGCCTTGGATTCATGGAGAGTGTAGTTAGATATATGTTGTAATTTAGAACAG